CTATTGTGTATGATAGTACTTTTCTCTCGTTGGAACAACTATAATCTCTTCCTTGTAGATAGATAGATAGATAGATAGATAGATAGATAGATAGATAGGGTGCGAGGGATAAATTGTCGTCTAAATTACCCAAGAATGAAAATAACACAGACAACTCATTTTAAAGGATATATTTATCAAAATTACACAAAAAATATCCTGAAATAGTAAGGAGTAAGTTTATTCAATAAAATCGCCATTGGCTTCAACCACAGAATCTCCTGCAACACTTCTTGACGGTTTCCTTATTTAAGTTGGTGAATGCTGCCATAATCCTTGCCTTTCATCACATTTTTGACTTTACAAGGATTTTTGATGGTCCCTCGGTCAATTGCGTTTCACACATAATAATCAATCTGGTTGCAGTCTGGGGAGTTAGATGGCGTGATTTAAGGGGTGATGTGGTCGAAAAATTATCTGATAGCCATGACTGCGTTCTCCTGCTTTTGTTACATGATGCGGGGTCGTGTTGCCAGAGATAGAGTCTTCTATCAGCCACCCTCTTGACTCAGGGCAGCACTACATTCTCAAGGCACTAAATGCATTTGTGATCACTCAAAACACCTTCGTAATAACCAATTAGACTTATCCAACTCTTTCTGAATCCTCTGCTCTGTATTCAGACTGACACCAAAACATGTTTGTATTGGATCTTCCAGCGCGAATGCCAAGTAGTACAGCATACAGTTTCCAAATTTCTGGCGGAGAGAATATGCCGTGCTGCTTTTTCTCATGGGCGGTGCCGCACTGACCCTACTATACTGTACAGGCAAGAAAATCAAAAACAAACAACGCGCTTGCGCAAAATTTAAAAAAATATAAAATGGCGACAATTTAACCATCGTACCCTGTACATACTCACATACATACATACGTACATACATAGATGCATACATGCATACATACATACATACATACGCACGTGGTGGCTGTTGACTCACAAAAGTATGACCTTCACTTACATGTCTAGATCTTCACTTAAACCCCTCCCTCCCTCCCACTGCATTCATCGGTTGTGTGAACGACAGTGACTCATAAAGCCAGCCATCGATCTGCATTATTTGTCACGTATGCGGCATATCAAATCATTTTCGGGTGGCGAACGGAAACTTTGATCATCATCACTTTTAATGTACCCTTTTACATGACTTGTCAGGCCCGACCTAGATTCTCACACTCTGGTGCATATCGGGCATTCAAAGCATGACATTACGAAATCGTCATATACAATTGACTGTCGGTGTTGGTATGACCGCTAGTGACTGAGCAGACCCACCCTGGAAGAACATATCCGAATACATTGGGCATATGGCCAGGTTGGCACCTCATGGAAATTCAGATATCCCTTCTAAACCCTTCTCTTCTATTATGCATAGTTTTTGCCTCCGTTAGCACTATCAGCTCTCAAAGAAACCCGGTCTTCAGCTATAGTCTCGCAGTTATATTGTACCTGTATAGTGATACTTTAAGACAATGTCTGTAACGAAGTTTGGGCTTGTGTTTTGTTTTTTTGTTTTTTTCAATTTCTAATTACCCATACGCTATTTGTTTTGGAATTCTGTCCTCCGCTATACTGATAACATGGCCCGTCCATTGCAATCTGTGCTTGCGTACAAGTTTTTCCACAGAGAGGCAGTTAGCCCTTTGTAGAACAGTATCAGGTGTTTGAGACGTCCAGTGGATTTCAAGCACAGACCAAAGGTAGCGTTGATGAAAGCGTTCCAGCATATTCAGTTGTCTACGATAGTCTACCCATGTCTCCCCTGAATATAGCAGAGATGGCATAACGCAGGCATTATATATTTAAATTTTTGCCTTCTTTTTTATGCTCCGTACATGGGCTTTGAGTGCTGCAAATGCACTGGAGGCCTTCTTAATCCGTAACATAAATATATACATACATACATACATACATGGAAACGAGGATGTGATCACTTTTCAAAATATGACCATAATAAGAAAAAACATCAGAATTCTTAGATAGAAATGTGCTTCTTTGGCAGATCATCAATATTTCAGCCCACCACTCATCCAAATGCACACCCAAGCACCTCAGAACATGAAAACCCACACACATCAAAACACACATATACACACACAGGCACATAAAAAAATCACAGATATGTATCTATGTTATATGATAAACTGAGGTAGCCAGGGAGAGCAGGCGCTCTCGGCGAAACGCGTCATTTTATATATTTTCCAATATATTATGATCTTATCTATGAATGTATTGTTTGGTAAGTAGAAGAAATGACTTCTGATTTAAAAAGATATTCATGGATTCCTTAAAATAACTTGGTTCGGGCCATGAAAATAAAGTTTTCTTATATAGATTTCAAAATGTAACGGTGAAATATCTCCACTGCTTAGATTGCGTTTTGTTTGCTGCAATAGCTTCCCCTAAATCCCGGCTGGCATAAAAGAGGTTTCTCTGATTAAAATCCAGCGTACATTTCAGATTTCTCCGTAAAGACCGATTTTCATTAATATCTTTTAATTTTTTATCTGCTTATAAAAATTGTGATGACTTCCGTTTTTAACGATAATACAAAAATGGAGATTTTTCCCTTTTATAAGTGTTCAGATTTCTTAAAAAACTCAGATTATTACATTTGTGTTATGAGCACGCAATATCACTTTTTAAATTTTATGTTATAATAGTATAATTTCTACAAGTTTAATATATATATATATATATATATATGTGTGTGTGTAAGAAAAAATATTATACATTGTTAAAAAGTGAGACATGATTTAATTATGGCAGAAAGAACACAAGCGTTTTTTGATTAAAATTTGCTCTCGTCAAAATAACCTCCGCCAGCAAAATTCTTTTGGCCTTCGTTGCAAACGTTTCTCAAATTATACATTTGAGAATTGATTCCATTCTTTTTTTTCCATGACTTTAAGACCTCTTCTGCATTTTTTCATTCTTCAGCTCATTCTCTTAACATCATCTCATCCTAATTCTGGAAGTAGCTTCAATGTTTTGAACTGTAGTGTATATATATATATATATATACACTACAATATTATAATATATATATATATATATATATATATATATATATATATATATATATATATATATATATATATATAATATTTTTAAAATATGATTCCTTCGCTTCATAAGAGTTCTCATGTTTCAAAAACGAGAGCCGAAACCATCAATATAATTATTAGAATTAAGTTGAGTCAAGGTGTTGGGTTCCGTTTCATCCTCAAGCGAAAATTTAGGAATAAGCTATCTTGTGGTTTGCGCGTGTTTATAAGTATTGTCCATTGCAATATTAATTACTATGGAAACGACTGTGCCTGCCATCTTGGCTAGGTGGTCAGACAGTTAATTCTTATCTACAGATTCGTCAACTTCGGAAAGGTTATGCCAAGGTAGAGTGGGGTATCTATTTCAAAGCTAATGGTGGCGGTCACCGTCTAGTTAGTTTACAGCCAAGGATATTACATGGCGCGACGGCTAGTCGTTAAGTGTCGAGAGGATTTTGTTTTATTATCTATCTGTTAATCTCTTTATTTATTTGTTTATTCAAGTGGCTGTTCCGTATACAAACGTGTTGCACTGAACTACAATTTTTTTTGACGAACTTACAAAGGTTTTTTTTTTTAATTTATTTAATGATTTGGCTAAGCTTTTAAGACTTTTATTAAACTATGGAATTTTTTTATTTATCTATTTTTTTTCTCCTCTGAATTCTTTTGAATCCTTTTATCACAAGTTATCTACCATCAACTGAAGAAATACTATCTTCGTACTGAAATATGAAAGTATCTGTGTAGCAATATAAAATGTTTTTATTGTAATTTATTATATATATATATATATATATATATATATATATCAGAAAATGACGGTGATGGTAGATAACTTGAATTTGAATTGTACAACAAGATCATCTTAATTTTCTTTTTATTTTATCATCGATGACTGCATCTTTATTTACTGAAAACATTTCCATTTTTAAAATATGATTCATATTTAATGGCTAGTAGCTTTGGTTATCACTCTCCACTCTTCCGCTGTATTTTGAACTGGAGTATTTTATCCCTGTTTTGGATTGGATTCCTAATTGATTTTAAATCCCTCTTTTTCTCCCAGTAGACTCTTGCTTCTTAGTGGCATTATCGTTTTGCTTGGGTTCAGTTGATAAAAAAAAAATGATACTACTTTCTATCTCTACACCGGTAGATAATAATAATGTATTTGCAATAACGTGTGATATCGGATTTAAAAAAAAAAATCTATTAATGTCTACTTTGTTTTTACGTTGGAGCTGACGGATCTCTCTTCGGTTTTCTTCTGTGATTTGCCCTCTAATGACTCGCGTAAGGAAAGATCGATAAGCACTGCATTATGACAAAGATTCTGAAATTTTCACTTGCCAACAGCTCTCCGCAAAAAAAAGAACCCATTGTCGATAAAGCTGCACATTTGCGACAGTGCATTTAAACTAAGAAAAGGTTTTTAGTAATTTGATAATCATTCCCATGGCTTGGATGTCGTAAATAAAGAACGAAACACCGACCCATTACTGGTGCACCCCATGCAGTTTCATTTACAGCCATTATACGACAGATAAACAGAAGACCGCATCAGTGTAATTCTTAAGTCAAAGTTCTTCATTTAACACTAAAGAGAATTGGCATTCTTCCTGCACCAGTTACGACAGACTACAAGCGATCTCCTATTCATCAAACAATGCGTGTGAATTTATAATGAATATCTTTTGTCCATGGGGAAAGATAGAAATGGACCTATCGTACTGGAGATTCATTTCAAAGGCAAATAATTAAATTAATGAAATCTTTCTGTTTCAGTTTCAACAATACAATGCAACTCTAGTGTCAGTTGACCCAAGTTTAGTTAAGTGCATTTAAAGCGATTTTGTAATCCAAGAAGTAGTGTGAAATCAAATGTCGTCCACGATATTTTCAAATAGTTTCTGTGATTGTGAGTCATTCTCTTTTTTCTCATCTTGACCATTTTTATCTATCTATCTATCTATCTATCTATCTATCTATCTATCTATCTATCTATCTATGTTCATATCTCACCAAATAGATTTAGTTGAGTTTCACGAATGGTTTTATCTATGAAACTTAAAGTTGGAAAGATAACCATTTTTTTTTTTAACTTTTCTTAATCTATGATTTAGGTATATATAACAAACTATACATAATTCGATCTCAGTCACAAGTATGTATCAATCTATCTGTTTACATTTATCTGCGTACCTATTTATCACAAGGCATTATAATGCTTTATCAGTCCTTTCTTATCTATCTATCTATCTATCTATCTATCTATCTATCTATCTATCTATCTATCTTCGTTCATATCGATCTAGCTACCTAAACGTATAATAACAGATTAAAATTATTTTGTTTTAATAAGAGAAAATATTTATATGTAACTGGTAGAAATTTCGGTTTGTAATCCTTATTGGCTATTTTTATGGTGATATTTAATATGCTGGAGGAGGGGGCAGTTTACGTTAATAATTATAGCGGGTCTATATGATAATAGTAGGTGTGACATGGTAGTAATGTAAGGGGGTTGGAGACAAGGATAATATAAGGAGCTAATACTTATTTTAAATTGGTAGAAGTGATTAGTAATGGTGGTGGGAGAATGATAAAAACAATAAATGTAGTTATAGTGGTGGTAGCTTGAACTAAAAAGTGATTGTTGGTGTTTTATTTTTATTTTTTTTTTTTTTTGGTTATATGTTTTAATTTATTTTGGTATAAATCCTGATAATAGGTATTCTGTGTAAAATTATGATAGTTGAAAATTGCTATAATTTTTATTTTTAATTTACAAAATAAAATAAAAAAAAACTTTTGTTATTATTTTAAAGCTGGTTATTTGCCTGTTTTTTTTATTTTTTTGATGACTGTGTATATGTGACTGGTATAAATTTCAGTTTGTAATCCTTATTGGTTATTTTTATGGCGGTATTAAATATGCTGGAGGAGGGGATAGTTTACATTAATAATTATGACGAGTTTATATGATAATAGTAGATGTGATGTGATAGTAATGATGTAAGGGGGTTGGTGACAATGATAATATAAGTGGCTAATAGTTATTGTAAATTGTTAGTAGTGATTAGTAATGTTAGTGGGAGAATAATAAAAAACAATAAATGTATTTATTGTGGTGCTAGCTTGAACTAAAGAGTGATTGTTGGTGTTTTATTTTATTTTATTTTCTATATTTATTTATTTATTTATTTTGGTATAAATCCTGGTAATAGGTATTTATTATCATGCCTACATTTTGGAATTATCTCTGATCATATTGGTTTTTTTTTTTTGGTTTTTTTTTTGTGGTATTAAATATGCTGGGGGAAGTAATTTACATTAATGATTATAGTGGATTTATATGTTAATAGTAGATGCGATGTGGTAGTAATGGTGTTGGGTGTTGGTGGTAATGATAATATTAGTAGTTAATAGTTATTGTAAAGTGGTAGAAGTTATTACTAATGATGGTGCAATGATAATAACGATAAATGTAATTATTGTGATGGTAGCTTGAATTAAATTGTGATTGTTGGTGGTTTGTCTTTCTTTTTTTATCCGTTTGGTATAAATTCGGATAATATATACATATTCTCATGCCTACATTTGGAGATTATCTCTGATTTTTTGTTTAGTAAATTCTTTTGCGGTGTGTGTGATATTATTGCTAATTATTATTGGTGCGATATTTTTGAGTTTTTTTTGCTGCCATATGTATGTGGATAGCGTAGTGCAGTTCGAGTAATACCTGTTGGTGAATGAAAGGTTGTGATTGTTATTCCTCTTCTTGAATGGACCTTCAGTGGCACCGATGAAGTATTTCTTCATATATATATATATATATATATATATATATATATATATATATATATATATATAAAAAGAAAGAGATTGTAGTGGTTCCAACGAGAGAAACGATTGTATATTAAAAAGAAGAGAAGAGAGGTGCCGCAAACGTTTTTGGTTTTAATGTGGATTTATTTAGAAAAAAAATATTATGCTTTGTTTTACATAATTGTACTACGCGTGTTTCTGGTCTCGTGACCGACTTCAGGTAAAAGTGGTGATTTCCACATATTATTAAAAATAATTAATTTTTTCTTTTGTTTTTCAATGTTATATATATATGAAGAAATATAGTATTAAGTTGTGCTATATTTATGAGATAAATGCTCAATATCAGAGATAGAGCGTATGTAAATATAAATATAAAAGGGAAAATTGAAGTCAACACTCAGAGACGACAGGCTGTTTCATGATGGACGCAATTGTCAGGCCGAGAATGCGGCCTGAGTGTTGACTTCAATGTTCACTTTTATATATATATATATATATATATATATATATATATATATATATATATATATATATATATATATTGAATATATATCAAGGCTTGTTTCGTTATATAATTTGTTGTATCTACTTATTTTCAAGTGGGTCCTTTGATATACACGTATAAGATTTTTGTTGTCGTTATTGAAGGACAAAAAAAAGTCGCCGTTTTGATTTCTTTTATTCCGAGTACTTTCGACATAGCACAATTTTATCATCAGGGCATTTCTTTATTGTAAGATAAATATTGTAGTGTCCGTTATTGTCTAAAACAAAATTGTTGTGTTCATCTGAAAGTTAAATTTCTTACTTGTGGAGTGAAGAACGCCGAGTCAGTGCGAGATCGCTGACCCAGTTTAAGAGGAGGTAACTAATTATGGTTGTGGTGAGTATATTACGAAATATGTATTAGAAAAAAGGAAACTATTAGTTCAAATACTTGGCATTTCAAAGTATCCATTATACACGTTTTAAAACATTTGTGAAATATTTGTAATTAATTTCGTTAAGGGATGATTTCATTTTTTAATATAGACAGCTTCTAGTAATTTTATTTTGTTTTTTCTTTTGAATAAAAAGTACAGAAGAATTTTCAACAAGATTTGCCAATTCAATGAAACATGTCTCAATGAAAACATGCTGCCTATATATATATATATATATATATATATATATATATATATATATATATATATATATATATACATGGGGTGTATCAAGAATAATTTTAAAACTTTTGGGTGGGTTCCTGACACCAAAATAAGGTAAAATGTTCATACCAACATATATTCGATAGGCCGTCCTTGTACCTCAACACAGTAACCCATAACAATGTTCAAAATGTCCTCTGCTTGCTTCTACAGACGCCGTACCCATCGGATCATTGACTGCTGGACCCTTTTAGATACATCCAAACGTTGTCGAATCGTTTCGCAGCCCATCGTGACAGGTTGCTGAAGCGTCTATGTATTATTAATGTCTGCTGCATAAACCAATTGAGAAGAACGTGCAGGCCATGGAAACGGTTTTCCCCTTACCTATCCATCTTTCATGGTAGATTGCAGCCCTTGCATCGCGAACAGGTATATCCTTGTGGAGGTCTGGAAGTTTGTTAGAAAGAACATTCCTGTAGACAGCTCCGGTAAGACGTGCTGAGAGAACATATGGACCTACCAATCAGTCGCCTACAATTTTAGCACACGCATTAATTGTAAACTGATGCTGGTGTCTAGCCTGTATTTTACCATGAGGACTGCTATCTGCCGACAAATGTTGGTTGTGTTAATTTATTATTCCATCTCTTCCAAATGTTGTCTTCTCCGTAAACATGACTGAAGAGACAAACAACGGATCGGCATTCTATGCAATAAACCATCAAAAAATGGTCTCCCATGGTGAGCGATGAGAGGGCGAAAGACTCTGCACACCTTTCCAATGATACAGGAGCTACACTTGTAGTAGCCTTCATGCGGTACGATGAGATGTACGACATGCAAGTGCCACTTGATGTGTGCTGATACCTTGATCGTCTCCGACTGTTAGTAGAATGTGTTCTACCTGGTCAGGCGTACAAGCGAATTTCGGGCTTCCGCTATTCAAACATTGTTATGTCAGGGAGCCTGTCTCAGCAACAGACGATAAACAGCAGCAAAGTTTGAAAGAACCTGCTCCATTCGGTCTGGAAAAACAATCTGATACAGTCGTGCAGCCTCGTGTGCATTATCATTCGCGCGGGCGTTTGTAAAAATCATATCTGCCTGCTCACGATACGAATGTCCTGCTATTTCAAAACGAACACTTTTATAATACTAAACATTATGGAACACTGCCTCACTACTAAACACGTTAAACGTTGTAGACAGAATAGCCATAAAGCTAGATGCGGCCCAAAACTAAAGTGACCTCTGTCCCAGCTTAGAAAATCGCATTGATAATTTTGAAGAAATAACTTTGAATTCCTCAGTTCATTCCATGGAACTTCAAAATCCCACTTTATCTCAGATTCGGTCTCTAAAGACCGATTTGGATCGAAATTACAAACCCGGCCAAATCACAAACTTCAAAACCTCACTTCACGAAACCTCTCAATTTAACTCTGATTCCTTGGTATTTTGAAGGAATAAAATTGATTTCCTCAATTCACAAAGTTTGGGAGATATTTTAAACTGAATTTTAAACAAGAAAATTTAAAACACAAACTTTTTGTATCAATTTAAACTCAATATAAACTAAAAACATTTAAATCATTAATTTTTTCAATGTTATTTTAAAATTCTAATTTTTTACTGTTCCCTCCTCATCCTAACACAAAACGCAATGCTGCACACTCAAGCATCAGATGAACTGTTTATCTTCATCCTGATTCCAAAAAAGCTCTAATATGTCTATGTAGAGCAAGTGTGGTTTTAGATAAACACACGGACGGACAGGCAGAATTTGCCATTTATTTATTTTGATAGAAGGTAGTTTGATGACTTTGCACTTAGAATGTTGGCATATGCACTGACGTGCAAATATTTATCATATAGGTGCCAAGTACCATGTTGGTCCCTTCTGTAGTACAGCAATTACAGTAATTCCTCGTGAAATCATGACACATAGTAGAAAGACCTATGGAGGGATGTTGAGCAATAATGCCTCGATGCCTATCAGTAGTTCACTGATATTTGTATGATAAAGATATCGCCGGTAAAAACAGACCTTATCGACACATCTAATAAATGTTATATTTAACTGATGATGGACGAAGATCACACAATTCATGGAGATCCTTCACAATGTGGCTAAAACCAAATGCGGGCGTTATGAACGACAATCTCCGAATATGAATCAGTTAAAATAGTTTCAAATAGCACTATACCTGATTCAGATGGAAATAAAATAAGAAAATCAGAAGATACTGTAACACAACCAGTTTCAAGTGAAGGGGTCGAACCAGGAACCTGTAATTAGACTTACCCAAACACTGCAAAAATATCTCCCATAAACGGAGCTATACTGAT